CCCCTCGGGAAAGGGCAGGCTGAGCAAGATGCCCAGAGCCCTGGCTGGTACTGTGGTTTGGAACATCCTTCAGGTGGTCTCTGGTGTCAGAAACAAACCTGTGAACCCTTGGGCAGTGCAGGGTGTCACACTCTGGCTGCCACTTACAGGATGCCAGGGGGTCGATTTCCTCACTTCTCTGCGCCGTGGCTTCCTTGTGAGGCAGCCTGGTCCAATGAGCTCATGTCCCTCAGCTGCTCAGAAGTGCCTGGTTTGAGAACAGCAGGCCCGACTGCTCGCCACAGACAGGGCAATTCCAATGACCGCACACCTACAATTGCTCTGGAGGAGAAAGATGCGGCTGTCCAGGGCGGTGAAGAGTCAGTCTTGGGGGACCCTGCATCAGTTGGCAGTTCAAACCCACCCAGCAACCGCGCAGAAGAAAGGCCTGGCACGCCGCCTCTGTCAAGAGTCCAGGCAAGCATCGATTCCACTCTGGGGCACCACGAGGCCGACTCGACTGGGCAGCAGCCATCTGGGCGGGTTTGGGGCTTGTTCTAAGCACTCTGCCGTTAGTTCCCCCATCGATCTTCGTCCACCGCGAGGGTGCTGTTTCCGGGGGAAGAAATGTGCATCAGGGCCTAAGGCCTTGGCTGTGAGCTGGGCAGGGCCGGGTCTGTGTAGACGGAACTGGATGGCAACCAAGGAGGCAGAGGAGGGCCCGCTATGACGGCCTTAAGTTGGCAGGCCCGTGGGGTATGCCTTCTTTGGGTCTCAGCCGGTGCGTTCCAAAGCAGAGTCCGCAAGCGGGGTGTAACCTGCAGCCGGCAGCGTTAGGACCCCGTGGAGACGGCAGTGGGCCCGGCCGCTGGGCAGGACGGCGCTTTGACGTCATCAGCGGGCGCGGAGGCACGCGGGAGTCCTGGGGGCCCCTGCGCACAGGCGACGGCCCTTCACTAGGACCCCCTGCCCGGCTCACCGGAACTGCCAGACTGCCCCTCGGGTGGCTGGGAGCCACCCCTTAAGAGGCCCGAGTCAAGGGAGCAGGGAGCGCCAAGGCCGGGTAGCTGGAAGGAGCCTGGTGAGTAGTGAGGCCTGGCCTGACGTCGGGGTGCCATAAATGGGGAGCCGTTGAAAGCCCGGGAGGGGCTTGACAATGCTTGGCCCGGGCAGTGGGACTAGCACCCCATCCCCGATGGTTCTGTTCAGCCTAGGGTGGGTGGTGACCAGGGCAGGGCACCCACGTTTGCCACCACCGTCACCTCTGGGCTCTGCTTTGGTGGCAACTACGCGCTTCTCTGAGACCTTGAGATGCCCAAAGACCGGGCCCATCATGTTATTCTTGGGGATCCCCCGCCCTGGGCAGAGCCTAGACATGGCAGGTGAGAGGCTATCCCTAGGGAGGAGGATGCCAAGCGGCTACCAGGTGTCCCCAGCCACACGGACCTCCTTTCAGATCCTGTGTGCACCCCCCACCCCACCTTCCCTCTGATCTATAGTGGTGAACCCCTCCCCTGAAGATCAGACGTTCCTATTAATGTCAGTATTGTGGCCTGGCCCACAAGCAGCCCCTGCCTTCCCCAGGCTGTCCCTGCCATAGGGTAGGCTACCAAATGACGTGCCCATCTCTGACCCCCCTGCCTCCATCCTTCTCCCACCACCAGCCTGAGGGAACCCCGGTCACCCCAAGGGTCCCATCACACTGGAGACCCACACTCCTCCCCACTCTACCCTTCCAGTTAGGCTGCAGTCACCCCACCTTCACGCCCCAGCCTGCGGGGTGTTGTTAGGTGCCCTCGAGGTGGTTCCAACAACTCTCGTTCCTGGTGTGGCAGGGAAAGAGTGCCGGGCCCTGCACCGTCTGCAGTTATGTTTGAGCCCATCAAGGAGCTGGTGGGGTTATAGGGTCCCTGTTGGGCTGCCACCAGCCCTCCTCCGGAGAAAGATGAGGCTGTCTGCTCTTTCGAAGGTTCAGGCCAGGAAGCCTTGTGTAAGGTCCCTGTGCCTTGGAATTGACTGGGTGGCAGTGGGTTTGGAGTTTGTGTTTTCCAGCCCAGTCGCAGGCCTGGTATCCATCCATTGTGTGGAGGGAGGGTGGTCCTTCAGCCTTTGTGAGGGGGCCAGACTCCTCCCCCTGAATGTGCTTGCTGTACCTCTGCCAGGAATGCCTCTCTTCTGGCTGGCTACTTCCTGTCACCTCAGGGAGCCTTCATCACCGTCTCCTCCCAGTCAGCCCTACCCACTGTCCAGCGGCCTCGTTGTGTTTTGCCAGTTTTGTCACCACCTTCGTGGTCCTTCACTTTCCCTTGTCGCTGTTACTGCGTGGGGCCCAGCCTCCGCTGCTGGCTTCAGCCCTAACCGGTGCCTGGGATATAGCAAGTGCGCAGGGAATGTTCGTTACAGGAACCCCACCTGTCAGCTGTTGCAGTTGCATTGAGCACCTACTGCAGGCCAGGACCTCGCCAGCGTTTGCCCAGCAAGACCTCCTAGAAGAGGCTCGATGGGCATATCGCCAGCTGACAGCACAGAGGGCTACTTGCCGGCTGTGGGAGAGTACCTGCCCACAGGTAGACAGGCTTAGGGGCAGTCTGAGGAGAAGCTGAGGACTGTGTGCTTTCATGAGCTGCCCCCCAGATCACACTTGGAGGAACTCTGGCCTGGCATATAGGGTGGGATGGACCTAGTGGGAATGGAATGGGGGTGGAGACCTGGCCATTGCTTTTGAGCTGTGTGATATTGAGCAAGTGGTGATGCTTCTCTGAGCCCCTTACTGCAAGATGAGAGCCCCCCAACCCCACGTCATTCTGCACACCTGCACTGCCCCAGCGCCGCCACTGGTGGTGGTGGGGGTGTCCCAGCAGCCTGTGGGCCACCCCCCACCCCCCAGTCCTCACAGACACAAACCCTCCTCTCACTTTTCATTCTTGTAAATTGACGTCAGTGCCGCTGCTGAATCATGAAGCTGAGGTTTAAGATATCAAGCGAGTTTGCACACCCGAGGAAGCCACACACCTCCCCCAGCCCAGCCCTTCCTCCGCAGTGGGGCCTGCACTGGGCTGTGCGCAGGACCCACCACCCCCTCCAGCCCCCCCGCAGGACACTCTAGGTGCACTAGTGGATAGCAGAGTGGAGAAGAGACAACTCTGGGGAGTGTGGTCAGAAGACCTTTAGCTGGCTGCCCCAGCTTTGGAGTGAGTGTCTAGCACTTGTGGAATGAAAATATGACTTTTAAACCTTTCTTACAAGGAGGGGAAAAAAACCCTTGATATACAACTCCCTGCTGTCTGCCCCACCTAACCTCCACTTACCAGGCAAATCCGTCCCTTTTACTAGGAGGCCATGTGTCATCTGTAAAACGGGATTCGGACAGGGCTTAAAACATATAGGTAACTAGGGCACTTAGAGAGCATCCTCGTGGTGTGCATTAGCTGTGAACAGCAAGCTCAGCCGTTTGAACCCACTGGCCACCCTGGCGGGAAAGGTGTGGCAGTCGTGTCCATCAAGATGTACAGCTTCGGGGCAGTTCTGTTCTGCCCCTCGGGGGCCTCACTCAGAACCGAGTGTAAACCAACGGGTTCCCGGTGCTTCAACTGTCATGTCAGCTGCTAGGTTGTGCCAAGTGGTACCCAAGAGCTGATGTTGGAGCATGCAGCTGCAAAAACCTGGCTGCATGCTCCACTGTGCTCTCAGGGCCTCTTGTTTCCCCATCTATACAACCGCAGGCTCTGGTAGTATGAGGCTTACTTTAAGCAGGCCCAAAGACGAAAAGTCAGAACAAGGATGAGATTGAATCCCGCCATCCACCACGGCAGAGAACACAGGGCAGGCAGGGGTGGTTAGAAACAACAGTAACACAGGGACTCCTTGGAGCCACAAGACTCTGCCTCCCCTCCCCACCGTACTGAAGGATGAACCTGGCAGAGCTTAGAGATCCTAAATCTCGCCACCTTCTCCTTAACCCTGTGGCCAGGAGCTGATTTAATCCCCAGGCCAGCCTGGCCACTCCAGATCGCCATCATAAGTTAATTTTATGCTGCACTTTTGAGGCTGAAAGGTGTCTTTAAATATTAGGACACTCCATTATATGCGTGCCCAAGGCAGCAGGAGGCCACTTCAGCTTCTCAAAATGAAGTGCTGCTTTAACACCAAATCCGAAAATGGCTCAATTCACCTGGAGAGCACAGCAGGGCAGCCTGCAAGTTCCCGGCACTGCCCATCCATTAGGATGGGGAAACCTTGCATCTTCCAGCACTTTCTGGGGCTCTCGGCAGGCTCCTACTCCAGGCCACCACCTCCTCCACCAAGCACCACCTCCTTCAGCTAGCCCATTTTCGAGGTAGAGGCAGAGGCCCACAGAGGTGAAGGGAATTGCCCCAAACCGCCAGCAGTACCCTCTGCCCCCACAGACCACAGAGCCTCTCTCTCTGCCTCCACATTCACTATTCACCATACAGTACAGAGTAGGACAGGGTGGGGCCGAGCCAACAGCCCAGACCAGCATCCCCATCCCATCGCATCTCACCGGTGCTTCCCCGGATGGTGGGCTTTCAGAAATGCCACTCCCCCCAAGCCCCACTCTCTTTCTGGAAGTTGGGGTCACAGAATGCAGTTTCCCCTCTGTCTCCATTTCCAGCAGATTCGTGGGGGGGGGGGGGCAGCCCAGAGAGCCTTGGTGCCTTCTTGTCACAGAAATGGCTCCCTGTGTCTTGGTCTGCTCTTCTGTAAAATGGGGACAAGCCCCCAGGCCTCGCAGGGATGTACACTAAGTAAACCAAGCCTGGCCTGCCAGGTGCCCCAGCCCAAGCTGATTCACCAGACACACACACAACACACCGAGACCAACGTGCCTTCCCTTCGGGGTTGTGGGTACAAGTCAGTCAAGTTCAGAGCCACGGACCCCTCCAGCCTGGCCAGCTAGTCTGAGCACCCCCCTCTCCCTCACAAACCAGAACACCTAGCCCAAAGCACATGCTCTAGAAAGTTTTTCTTTAAAAAAGATTTTTTTTCATAATAAAGTTTATTACCTAAACTGGTTGTAAAAAATATAAAATACGATTCTGCATAGCAGAAAAATCCAGCCAGAGGCCCTCCCCCAGCCCCTGGTTTGTGCAAAGATACTGGGTATGTGTAAACATGAAGAGGTAGGTGATGTGGGCTCAGGGTCTGCTCCCACACACAGGTCAGTTAAGCTGCTATGACAACCAGGGAGGCGCAGGGGGAGCACCAGGAGGGAGGGGCTGCGGCCTTGTCTCCAGCAGCGGCGCGAGGGTGGCGCCTCGGCCCCCACACCTGTTCCCTCCAGGCCAGGCGGGGAGGGCACCCATGTAGTTCCAGGCAAATAATAATAATTAATAATAGAAAACAATAAGACGCCCAGTTAATGCTGCGTGCTCGCTGGCTCGGCCGGTCAGATCTGGAAGGGGAAGGAGCTCAGGTAGTCTCGGAGAACAGGGTTGAGGGGGATGCGCGCCAGGTTCTCGCGGCCCACGGTGGCCACGATGCGCTGGCGGCACAGCTCCTGCAGCGGCCGCACGCGGCGCTGGCGCAGCGGGGCCCCCAGCATGCGGCGCGGCGCCGCCACGTAGTGCTCCAGCAGCTCGAAGAGGCAGTCGAAGCTCTCGCGGCTGCCGTCCAGGTGGAAGCGGCCGGCCTGGAAGTGGACTCGGATGCTCGTCGGGCCCGAGGCCATCTTCACGCTGAGGGCGAAGAAACAGTTCCGCTGGCGGCTGTCACGCACGAGGAAGGTGCCCACGGGCTCAGCGCGCAGTCGCTCGTGCGCCCCGTGCACGCTTAGGGGTCCCCAGTAGAAGCCGCTGGCGTCCAGGAGCGCGCTGGCCCGCGTGATGCGCCGGTACTCGGCGTGCGAGCGGAATGTGCGGAAATGCGTGTCGCCTGGGGCCGGGGCTGCGGGGCCGGGCCGAGGGCGCCCCGGCGCCGTGGGCGCCGAGGAGGAGGAGGAGGAAGGCTCTGGCCGTCGTCGGGGTTCCGCTGCCGTGGAGATTGCATTGTCGGCTGCCACCTGGTTGTGAGCCACCATCCTACACGCGGGGCCTGCCAGAAGGGTGGGCCATAGCGTCCGGGGGTGCGCTGATGGGGGAGACAGAGGCAGTGAGCTGGAGCGCCGGGGTGCAGGTGCGGGGCCACGCGGCACCTGAGAGGGGGTAGGGCTCTAGGCCGGACCAGACCCCAACTTGTCGACGTGGATTCCAAGTCTGCGAGAAGCCCCTTTGAGCCTCGGTGGACTCATAAAGCAAGTAGGCCTCCCGTCCGCGCAGCGCTTCCAGAAGGATGGAAGCTTAGCCAGGGCAGACCCCACGCTCCCAGCCGCACGGGGGGTTGGGTGGCAGCAGGGGGGCGTGGAGAGGGGTGGCCCGGTAGAAGCCAGCCTGACTCCGGACGTTCGCCGCCTGCTGGCCAGGACGGGGATCGGCACCTCGTAGGGGGGATTTTGGGCAAAGGCTGGAGAAAAGCTGTGCCGCGGGTGCCCCGCGCGCGGAGGACCGGCTGGGTGGAGTTGGCGAAGGCCGGGGGCGTGGTAGCAGCGACCCCACTAGAGGCGGTCGCGGTTAACCAGCCAGCCGGCCAGC